GGTCTCCAAGTGAAATCTACTAAGTTGCAAGTTGAAATCTACTAAGGTCTCCAAGTGAAATCTACTGAGCCATTTGGAATGTTGCTGTTTAGTCATTTGGCTAAGCCCCAACCTTAACAGAGGGCGATCACAGTTCTAATCCACACACAGCCCCGAAGTCACTTAACAGTCTTGACTTAGCTGATGCGTGGAGAAATGGAGGAGAGCAAGAAAAGCAGCACTGCTGACGCTGAGAAGATAACTAGAGAAAAAGAAGAACGAAAGAAAGAAAACTTCCAACACTAGAAGTTTTTAAGAAGAGCTTGGACAACAACCATTTGTCTGAAATGGCATAGGGCAGGGGTAGGGAAACTTGGCTCTTTTATCACTTATGGACTTATACGTCCTACATTTGTATATTAAACAGTCCCATTCAAGTCAAAACTTGATTTCCCCCACAACTGAAAAACCAGTAGGCCAGGGATAGGGAACCTTTTATGGCTCACTTAGGAATTCTGGGAGTTGAAGTCCATAAGTGATAAAAGAGGCAAGTTTCCCTCCTCCTGGCATAGGGTTTTCTGCCTGTGCAGCAGGAAAGGACCTCAGAGGTCTTCTAGTCCAACCCCCTGCTGAAGCAGGAAACCCGACACCATATTTCAGTTAGTTGGACTAGAAGACCTCCATGGTCCCTTCCAACTCTGTTCATCTGTGAAATGCCCAGGTGTAGTAAGTTGCTTAGGATATGGGTAATATAAAGTTGTGCCTTTGTATGTCACATTTCTTGCCCCATTGGGGTTTTACAGCCCCCTCTGAGTCAGTCAGTCAGTGGGTCGGTCGCTGCCACCACCAGGATCAACTCACCTGGCCCTTGGAAGGCAGCGGCTGGACGCTGAAGAAGAGGCTGAGCGGGAGGGTGGCCAGAGCCGCCAAGGCCCAGATGGCCAGCAGGCAGGCGGCCACCAGCCGTCCTTTCCAAGGCTTGGAGGGCTTGAGCCGGACGATGCTGACCACCCGCTCCAGGCTGACGGCGGCCAGGGAGAGGATGGTGACGCTGCCGCTCAGGCTCATCAGGTAGAAGAGCAGGTGGCAGACGGCCTCGCCCAGGGTCCAGCTCTCGGTCCAGCGCACCACGGCGATGACGGGGATGGCGCTGATGAAGAGCAGGTCGGCGCAGAAGAGGTTGAGCACCAGGCAGCTGGCGGCGCCCGGCCGGCCTTTGCGACGCAGCACCAGCCGGATGGCGCCCGTGTTGGCCGCCAAAGCCAGGGCGAAGATCGACGCCAGCACCACCGTCTCTGCGATGCTCAGCCCCAGGCGGACGGCCGCGTCCTTGAAGTCCGAAAAGAAGGGGAAGAACGTGTCGTTCCCGCCAGCCCCGGTTCCGGGCATGGAGAGCCGAGCGCCCGGGGCATCAGGCGGACGAGCCGGGCGGAGGAGGAGCAGCTTTCGGTCCAGTCCTGTTAGCCCCGCACCCGGCCCCGGATAGGGAATCCCCCGGTCGGCCGTTAACTTCCCTTCGAAGCGAGGTTTGAGGTGGACTGGGAGCACCTTGCTGAGGCCGAGGCGACGAGGAAGTGGCGGGAGGCGGAGGAGAGCTTGCTGCCCTGTCCCGCCGCAGGGAGGGGAAGCGAGGACTTTACGAGGAGTAGTAAGTGGCTCGGAGGAGCGAGCATCGCTGCCTTCCGTCTGCCGTCCGCACGTTCGGCCAGGGCCTCCTCCTCCTCTTCCTCCCCTCCCTCCCCTCCACGATGGGACTTAGGAACAGGCCTTCGAGGAAAAAAAGCGGGAAGCGAAAATGCATCCCCGCCGACTTAGTTCCCATTCTCACCCACACCCCGAAAGCAAAAGGGGACGCGAGGGGAGAAGTTTGAGGAACTAGTAAGGGTCGGCTCGCTCACATAGGGAGAGAAAAAAGGAAAACGGGGGGGAGTTGTTTTATAATGTGGTTATATATCCCACATGAAGTGGGAATTCAGGGCTATGAAGTGAAGGGCAAGGCAGCAAGGGAACTTTAGAAGAGGGGAATGGACAGGGAATGGAATACAAGTAGTCTTAACTTGGCTAGTCTACCACACTGGCTTTTAGAATGAGCAAGAAAATAACTTGTCTATCAGATTGATTGATTGATTGATTGATTGATTGTACACTCTGCCCACCTCCTATTTAACCACTCTTATGTAATGTTTAGGGTTGCAATGCAAAGCCAAAGATTAAAGGACAAGAAACATTAGTCGTATGAAGGACAAGAAAAATCAGTCATATGTATATCAATTAATGTAGAAATATTTGTGTATGATGTGCTCACCTCTTGAACTAAGGATTACAGGATTAGTCCTCGGTTTACAACCATTTGTTTAGTGACCGTTCGAAGTTAATACAACAGCAGTGAAAAAAGTGACTTACGACCATTTTTCAAATGTACAACCTTTGTAGCCTCCCCATGATCATGTGATCATGATTCAGATGCTTGGCAACTGGTTCATACTTATGACAGTTGCAGTGTCCCAAGGTCACGTGGTTTCCTTTTACGACCTTTTGACAAGCAAAATCAACGGGGAAGAGGGATTCACTTAACAACTATGTTACTGACTTATCAACTGCAATGATTCACTTAACAACTGTGGCAAGAAAGGTCGTACAATGGGGGCAAAATTCACTTCACAAATGTTTCACTTAACAACAGAAAATTTGGGCTCAATTGTGTGGTCCAATGTTGAGGACTACTTGTATCCTAAGTCCTTTTTAAAAAGGAGCATGATTTAGTTCACAGTGGGATTTAGTCCTGGGCAAGAATGTAGAAGATTCGTATATACGACAACTCGCCACAGCCAACTTGCTGTGAGACAACTCTACATTACCTTAATATCGAAGAAATAGTGGAATCGAATCATTAAAGAATACAAAGGAGGAACAAAAGGAAATGTGAATGATAAAAATTAAAATATTTTAAAAATTATTTTAAATAATTAAATTGAATTGTTGAATTGTCCTGCAATGAGTTGCCCTGTGGCAAGTTGGCCATGGTGAGTTATCCTGCAGCAAGTTGGCCATGGTGAGTTGGCTGCAGTGAATTGTCCCATTCTGTCCTAAGATATGGCTTGCACGTCCCAGAGGTGCTTTTTCCAAAGGCAACTGGACTTTGTTTTTCCTTGAGGATGTTTTGCTTCTCATTCAAGAATGGAAGAAGCTTCTTGGATGAGAAGTTGAACGTCAAGGAAAAACAAAGTCCAATTGCCTTTGGAAAAAGCACTTGTCATGCCCCTGTTGGACACTGACTCTGAGGAGAGGAGGAACAGTTGACAGGGAGTGGAAGTGTGGCTCCGGAGATTGAGGAGGAGGCTGGGGAAGGGCAGAGGCCGGCTGGGCAGTCAGAGGAAGACCCAGGCCCATCCCCTCTCCATCCTAGGGCACTCAGGGAGGAGACAATAAGGGAGAGATGTGAATGGCGTGGTCTGTGGGGGAGGAAAGGGCCTTGATCCTCTTCATGGGCTGCAACTGTGAGAACTGGTTAAAAGGATGGACATGCGTATGGGCCAGTGCTGGAAACAAAGCGTGGAAACATCTCTAGTCTGTTGTTCCTCTCTGAGTTTGGCATCCTTCCCAGTGTGTGTTCCGATATCTGTGGACATCTTCAAGCCCTTATCTTGCCTGGTTCCCTTAAATTGTTTCAGTGTGGTTTGTGTTGTTTATACTCTTTATAATTTATAGGCATTTTTAGTTTAAATGGCATTTCCTCCTTTTCGTAACTGGGGAGTTTTTAGTCTCCAGTCAAGGATATTTGGAGTTTTGAAGCAAAGTGAAGGAATAAAAGGGGCTTCACCTATTTTCACGACTGTGTTTATTTTATATCCCACCCTGGGTCATCACAGCACCTTTGGGACAACCATGACCTGAAGGACTGAGAATCTCCATAGACTTACTTGCTTTTGCTGCAGGAAAGGAAGGAGCAGCTTTTCTGAATGCAGGAAGAGGAGGGTCCCTTCAGGAAATCTGTGGGTTTTGTTTGATGTGGCCCCTGCACACTGTCCACCAAGATTTGCTGAACTGATTGCCTATTACGTCCCACTACTTAATTGGATTCTACTGCTAGGCATTCCGCTGACTTCCCATGCCTTTCCATTCACAATTTAAATCATGCCAAACTACCTTTAGGAATCATGGTGTCTGGACAACCATACTGGAAATTAATTAGAGGACATGTATGATTCCATTTATCTATTAAAATGCATATCATGTTCTCCATTGGTCCTACAATTGCTATCTTCCTTTGATCCCCATGATGGGAGAAGGGTTCTTGCTGGAAAACCATATCTTTCTGTTATATCTTGAGCACCTCCAAGCAAAAATCAAGTTTTGTGTTCAGGAAAAATAGCAGGTCTGCACAGTCATTCAGATGACTTTTAAGCATATAATAAATCGCTTGTTTTAAAATCCAGAGGCACAGAAACAGTCTAGGGTGCAAAGTAGCACTGAAAGGGTTATATTACAATCGCCTACTTGCAATTCAATATGCCTTGCTTTGTTGACCCGAGGTTGCCTAGGATGAGAAACCTAATCAAAATTCATTATTGAACCTCTCAATATTTACTTTGCAGAATGCTTTAATATAAAGCAATGTTTCTCAGCTTTGAAAAATTTAAGACCTGTGGAGTTCAACTCTCATAATTCCCAGCATAGCTGGGGAATTCTGGGAATTGAAATCCATAGGTCTTAAAGCTTCAAAAATCCTGGAGCACCAGGGAACTACCAGAGGACTGGAAAAGAGCTGATGTGGTTCCCATCTTCAAAAAAAGAAGAAAAAAAACAGACCCAGGAAACTATAGACCAATCAGCCTAACATCAATACCTGGGAAGATACTGGAAAAGATAATAAAAAAACAGATCTGCCAACATTTAGAAACAAGTAAAGTAATAACTAGCAATCAGCACAGGTTTGTTAAAAACAGATCATGCCAAACCAATCTTACTTCATTCTTCAACATAGTGACTAAATTAGTAGACCAGCAAAATATTGTGGACATAATATACTTAGATTTCAGCAAGGCATTCGACAAAGTAGACCACAACCTACTTCTTGGTATGCTAGAAAAAAGTGGAATAGATAACACCACCACCAGATGGACTTACAATTGGCTGACAAATCGTACTCAACGAGTCCTTAATGGGTCTAAGTCTACATGGAGGGAAGTAAGCAGAGGGGTGCCACAAGGTTCCATCTTAGGCCCAGTACTCTTCAATATCTTCATTAACGACTTAGATGAGGGAATAGAAGGGGAACTTGCCCAATTTGCAGATGATACTAAGCTGGCAGGAATAGCTAACACCCAAGAAGATAGGCTCAAGATCCAGATGGATCTTGACAGACTAAAACACTGGGCCATATCTAACAAAATGAAATTCAATGTAGAGAAAAGCAAAATCCTACACTTAGGCAAGAAAAACCAAAAGTACACATATAGACTGGGGGAAACCAGGCTCAATAGCAGTTACTGTGAGAGGGATCTTGAAGTCTTAGTGGACAACCAGCTAAATATGAGCTAGCAGTGTGCAGCAGCTGCCAAAAAAACCTAATGCAATTCTAAGTTGCAGTAACAGAGGGATACAATCAAGATCAAGTGAAGTATTAATACCACTCTATAAAGCCTTAGTAAGACCACACCTAGAGTACTGCATCCAGTTTTGGTCACCACACTATAAAAAAGATGTTGAGTTGTGGGAGCGTCATCACTTGAGATTTTCAAGAAGAAATTGGACTGCCATTTCTCAGAAATGGTGTAGGGTCTCCCGCTTGGGCGGAGGGTTGGACTAGATAACCTACAAACTCTGATGATCTGTTATCTGTTAAGTTGCCCCAGTTGAGAAACACAGATATAAACTATCATCTCATTTAAGAATGATCTGGGGAACAGTTTGAAGTTACATGACATGACCTCAATTAATCCTGAATACTGCTCCATCAAGCTTTCCAGCAATCATTTAAATCTTAGATAGTGCAATTCAAATGTTCTCCTAGGCAGTTTAGAATGTTGATATGAGAGTGAGACCTGAAAAATCATTGAACGTTCTATGTTCATGAAAATTATGTAGAGCTCAAAAGGCAAATAAGGGATTTTTCTACATGCTGACACAGAAATTGGTTTGTTTGCATGATTGTCAACGTCACAAATGTTTTTCGCTTATATTAGGGGGCCGTTTATCATAGTATCATTTACAAGAAAGAACAATCTAGAGAAATAGTAATTAGTTTCTATATCCTAAGGAGTTACTCTGTTCTGCCATTTGGGAATTAGAATGGCATTTTTATTGAACCCAACCCTGAGTGATTAAACTTCCATTCTGTGTGTCTTTATCATAACGGGTTGATATAATATTCACCATTTAAACAGGTG